GAGGAGGGAGGAGGGAGAAGGGAGGAAAACACAAGGGGGATACGAAGTGAATAAAGTGTAAATAATAAAGAATTAAAAAAACCATAATGTTAACTCAAAAAATTTAGTAATTCCTTTAGTATGTTTGTTTCACTCCATACTTTTCTGCATAAGAGAAAAATCATGCAATTATTCACTTGCATAGCTGATATTATGAAATTAAAAGAAGGAGTGTTAGGATAAAGCTAAGGAGAGGTCCCTTGGCAGGTTGGAGGCCAACATGCGCCATGAAGAGACCACACCAAGCAGCAGATCTAATGGAAGAGGGTTATTGGGGAGGGGGAGAGTAAAGGGCCATCTTGGAGCGGGGAAATGAGTGAGAGAGAGACAGACAGACACACAGACACACAGACACACAGGCAGACACCTAGGCAGGCAGAGAGATCGGGACACAGAGTGACCAAACAAGATTGAAAGTGTGATCTGGGTGTCCACACCTTTTAAAGGGGGTGCCTGTTACTAGGGGGAAACACAGTGCACCTGGCAGGGCTGGGTGACAGCATAAACTGAGTCACAGAAAGTCAGGCTTGCCGAGTGCACCTAATTTACAAGAAGTGAATGGAAGAAATACATTAATTTGCAAGTAATGATCCAAGGAGGTAGGTAAAAGTATCACATTAGCATTATAAAGAAAAGGAAAGATCATTAAACACTAGGTGCTAGTGAAGAATAATTCAAACCACTCAACAGAAGCAGTCATTGTATGCTTTAGAAGTCAGGAAGGGAAGGTATAAGAATTTAATGTCACCTGCTAGAAAAAAAAAATGATTCTTCTATGTAAGTGAAATTGGATTTTTATGAATAGGTTATGGCAATGTGGGTTAGAATAAGGAAGACAATGAAAACTAAAATACTACCCATGGGTAAATGACGACCTTATGTGGTGAGACTTTGATGTGTAAAGAATCACTTTGTAATTTAAAATCCAATACAGCACTTCAGATGCAAAACTATAACCTTCATACTTTTATTTTCAAGTTGGGGGAAAAAAGCATTCATTTAAGTGTTTCTTCATAAATATTTACAGATATATATATATATATATAAAATCTATATCTATATATCTATATATCTATATCTATATATCTATATCTATATATCTATATCTATATCTATATCTATCTATCAGTATATATATATATATATACCTAAAAGTTTCAAGAAATCTGCAAGTCAATTTTACTCCTTATTCATACTTGCCATAATATTAAAACTATAATGACTTTTGGCCAAGTTGTTATTTGTTTTCCTTACCCTCAGATTGAAATTTTTTCTATATCCACCAGGGGGCAATAAAGCACAGTAAGAGAAATAACAATGGTAGGGCTGGAGCAAATGTTCAGGAATTAAAAATCATATTTGTGGCTTGGTAAGGCTGCTCCCTCCTCAGGGGGAGGTGATCAAAGAGCAGGCCAATCAGATTATGTCAGAGGCAGTCCCTCTTCCCATTACTATGTAACCCACTTGGACACTGAACTGCCATGGGCTACATCTGTGCAGGGGTTCTAGGTTATCTCCATGCATGGTACTTGGTTGGAGTATGAGTCTCTGCGGGGGGAGCAGCCTTACCAGGCCACAGAAGACGACAATGCAGCCACTCCTGATGAGATCTGATAGACTAAGATCAGAAGGAAGGAGAAGAGGACCTCCTGTATCAGTGGATTTGGGGTGGGGCATGCATGAAGAAGGGGGTGGGAGAGTGGGATCGGGAGGGGTGGAGGGATGGGCTTATGGGGGGATACAAAGTGAATAAAGTGTAATTAATAAAAATAAAAAATAATAAAAAATAAATAAACAAATAAATAAAAAAAGAAAAAATATCATATATTTGTTCAGCTATGTTCATTGCAGCTTCACTCATAAGAAACAGAATCTGGCAACAACCTAGATGCCCCTCAACCAAAGAATGCATACAGAAATTAGGGCACATTTACACAATAGAATACTATTCAAATATTAAAGACAAGGAAGTCATGATATTCGAGGACAAATGGATGGAACTATAGAGATCATCCTGAAAGGTAATCCAGAATCAGAAAGATACACATGGTATATACTCTCTTTTAAGCCATGTTAGCCATATAATATAGGATAACCATACAAAAATCTACAGACCTAAAGAAGCTAAACAACAAGGAAGACCTTAGGGAGGATGCTTAATTTTCATTCAGAATGGCAAACAGGATAGACATTGAAGCAGTGGAAGACAGGGAACAGGACTGGAGCCTCCGATAGATATCCTCTAAAAGGCTCCACCCAAGAGGGGATTGAAACAGATGCAGGGACTCACAGCCAAACTTTGGGCAGAGTGAAAGGGGGTATAAAAGGACCCAGAGGGGACAGGAGCTCCACAAGGAGACAACAAAGCCAACAAATCTGGGCCCAGGGATCCTGCAGACACTGATATACCGGTCAAGGACCATGCATGGAGAAGACCTAGACCCTCTACTCAGATGTATCCCATAGGCAGCTCAATCTCCATGTGGGTTCCCAAATAAGGTGAGCAGAGGCTGTCCCTGACATGAACTTGGTTGCCTGCTCTTTGATCACTCCCCCTGGTGGTGTGGCCTTGCCGGGAAACAGAGGAAGAGCATCCAGGCAGTCTTGATGAGATTTGATAGACTAAGGTCCGATGGCAGGGGAGAAGGACTTCCTCTTTCAGTGGACTACAGGAGGGGACTGGAAGGGGAGAGAGAGGAAGGGTGGGACCTGGAGATGAGGGAGAGGCTACAGTCAGTATAGAACGTGAATAAATTGTAAAAAATTAAAATTTAAAAAAGGTAAAAAAAAAAAATCACAGTTCTAAGACGCTGACTAAATACATACCATCTGTAAATATAAGAACCCGGACATCACAGCTGACATCTTAGTGCAGGGACAGACAACAGAAAGAAGCAGAAAATCCAGGGATGGTTTGGACAGGCAGACAAGTCCCCACCCTGAGTATTCCATTCTTTAGGCACACATACCAAAAGGTATGTACAATGCCCCAGAAAGAAAACAGAAAAGTATTTTCTGCTAGAGTCTGAAAAACATTTCTAGGGTGAGATGAAAGAGCTCAGCTTGGATTTGCAATTGAGCTGCCCATGGATAGTATCATGGCTAGGGTGTCGTGGAGCTAGGGATGGTCCCTTCTGGGCGCCTTTCCCTGAGGAGTCAGCTTGGTGTCACCAGCACAGCCTAATTCTGAGGATGAACTAGTGGCAACCCCAGCAGGCTACTTCATTTGGGAGAGAGGAAGGATTTCATGATTGGAAGTTTATTTCTGTGTTCCTCAAAGTATCAATACGTATCGTTGTCAGAATGGACAGTAAGTTGAGGGATCATTAGTCAGAAAAAAAAAAATCCCATTTTCCCTTTTCCATGTGAATAAGTGACTAGATGTGAATGGAACTGTAGAAGATGTCATTTAAATTTTTTTTTGCTTTTATATTTAATTACGTGTACATGTGTGAGAGAGTGTGGGTTTGTGCACTTTAGGGAAGTGCTGAAAGCTCTGACGGTGCTAAAATTACAGGAGTTTGTGAGCTGCCATACGACTATCAGGAATCACCACTGGGTCCTTTACGAGAAAGGTTTGTGCCCAACCTCTGAGCCATGTCTTCAGCTCAGGAATGCCACTTCTGATTCTGAAATTTTGTAACCATCATGAGGAAAAAAAAAATTAATGGAAAACAGTCCTTGGACTATGAAGAAGATTAAAAAAAAAAAAGAGTTAGGAAACAAAGACATAATGTAATCCTGAAACTGTGCCAGAAGGAATGTTACATCAACCCCTGCCATCACGTGCATAATGAATTCAGTCTCTTTCATTACAGTCTATCACTGCTAGTAGAAAATCTCACCTTAATTATGCATATATAATTTGATATATTCTACCATGCTTCTAAGAATGTAGTCAAAAGTAAGATTGTACATTTATATTTCAAATGGTTACAATTGTTTATTTAAAAGACATACTTTCAAGATTGTGACTATTAGTAATGTTAATTTAAAATTTCAAAAAGACCCAATATTAAGCAATTCAAATGTTACTTAACATGTATTATTCTCTGATATAACAAAAATAAATTCCACCTAAAAAGAACAATGTTCCAAACTTATAAAACAAAACAAACGTGTGGATTTATTTTGCTTGTAAATGTATGCAAATGAGTCTTTATAAGTGATATAGGTACTTCTGAGCAGGCAGACTGTGGGGACCTCAGAGCCCTGGTAGACTCTATCCTGTAGTCCCATACTGCTCTTGTCACTTTTATTCAAAATAATCAAGTACTAACAAAACCTTATGACTCATGAAGCTGCACTACATCTCTGGGCTACATCCTTCATGATACACTCCATCTCTGCACTGCGTTCTTCCTGACTCATGAAGATGTGCTTCTTTTCTCCACTGTATCCTTCATAATTCATGAGGATGCACTACATCTCTGCACTGCGTCCTTCCTGACTCATGAAGATGTGCTTCTTTTCTCCACTGTATCCTTCATAATTCATGAGGATGCACTACATCTCTGCACTGCGTCCTTCATGACTCATTAGGATGTGCTACGTCTCTGCACTGCGTCCTTTATGACTCATTAGGATGTGCTACGTCTCTGCACTGCGTCCTTTATGACTCATTAGGATGTGCTACATCTCTCTACCACATATTCACTATATACTTTGTGCTGAACCTCTGAACCATGTCTTCAGCACAAGAATCTCTCCTTTGAATCTGAAATTTTGTAAATGTCCTGAGGAAAACAAAAATAAATGGAAAAACAATCCTGGGACCATGGGGAAGAGAGAAAATAGCTTAGGAAACAGACAGTGATGTAATCATGAAACCGTGCCAGAGGAATGTTGCATCAACCCCTGCCATCATGTGCGTAATGAATTTAGTCTCTTTCAATGCAGTCTACCACTGCAAGTAGAAAGTGTGGTCAGTTGGAAAGTTTTAGCTAACAAAATTCTCCATCTCATGGGAATTGTCTTCTTTCTACAAACTTATAGAGGGCAACTTTGACATCCTTGTTCCTCAGACTGTAGATCAGGGGGTTGAGCATGGGAACAATAATAGTATAAAACACAGATGACACTTTCCCTTGGTCCATGGAACTGACTGATGATGGCTGCAGGTACATGAAAACTAAAGATCCAAAGAAGACAGCAATGGCCAAAATGTGGGAACTGCAAGTGCTGAAGGCTTTGGACCTGCCCTCGGTAGAAGGAATGCGGAGGATGCTGGCAATGATGAAGACATAGGAGCTGAGGATGGTCAAACCTGGGACAATGATATTAAAAGAACTGAAGGACAGTCCTAGTGTTTCATTGATAAATGTACTGGAGCAGGATTGTTCCAATAGTGGGAAAAGGTCACAGAAGTAGTGGTTTATATCATAAGCTTTGCAGAAAAGCAATCTAAGCAGACAGACTGTTTCACCTGTGGCACAAATCAAACCTATACTGTACACTCCCACCACCATCCAGGAGCACACTTTATAGGACATCATAGCATTATACAGCAAGGGGTTACAGATGGCAACATAGCGGTCATACGCCATGGCAGCCAGCATGTGACACTCTGAAACAGCAAAAACATCAAAGAAGTAAAACTGAGCCATGCATCCTGCGTAAGAGATGACACTCTTCTCTACCACAAAGTTCTCCAGCATTTTGGGAATGATGACACTGGACTGACAGAGGTCAACAAAAGACAGATTGCTGAGGAAGAAGTACATGGGGGTGTGGAGGTGAGGACTGAACAGGATTAGCATGACCATGCCCAGGTTTCCTAGGATAGTGACAGCATAGATTCCTAGGAAGAGGAAAAACAGGGGCAGCTGGAGCCCTGGCTTCTCTGTTAAGCCAGTGAGGACGAACTCTGTCAGAGTGGAATAATTTCCTTCTGCCATTTTCTTCTGAGCGTCTAGGTTGAAAGAGAAACAAGGTTTTAAGAGAGATACTTAATGTTCTTAATTTTACATAATAAAGTTTCAAATAGAATTCAAGTTTTCTCAATTGGGTATCTCCAGATATGCAAGTTCCTGGTCAATATTTTTAGTCAGAGCCCTGGAACCCAAATACATGAGGCATGTAATCAAATATCAGACTGGACAATTCTCATTTACAGTCTAGGCTGTATGAATGCTTACATGTAATATTTAAGTGTGAATCACACAACAATTGCTCTGGTAACTTGAGTGTTTCAATAGGTTTCCATGTCAGATTTACACTCATATTAGGACTCCAGAAGCAAAAGACTTTTTGGTATGCTGAGATAATACATCAATAAAAATCAGTGACCAATATCATACTTAACGGTAAAAGCATTAAAAAAAATCCCACCCCTAGGTAAAAACAAAACAAAACAAAACAAAAATCAGCAAAAAGCCCTTCTGCCCTATCTATGTTTATTCATACTAGAAGTGCTAGTTTAGGCAATGGAGGGGCAGGATATAATGATAAGCATCCTGTTAGGACAGAAAAAAGGAAAATTGTTTCTTTGGAAATTATAAAATATATACATATATGAAAAAAATCTAAATTGGAATGTCAAAATAATGGGGAGGACAAGGTCCTAATTAGATATCTCTTGCCACCAAAGGAAACCTCCTGTGTCAGGAATGGTTTACATCTACCACGGTGGTAGACAAACGCATCCCATGGAAATCTTAAACCCAGGCTATTACCAAGGCTAATGGATTCTCTCCACAAATTGATGGTAGAGCCTTATTGTTTAAGATAATACCTACATAACTCAGTACACAAAGAGAAGTCTGAGCTGGTGCCTACCTAGAGCCTTCACCCCTACTGACTAGTTAATTTGTTCTGGGAAGGTACTCTGCACATTACCAAATGAGAAGTATAAACACCAATCCAGTGAACCACAAACCCTGTTACCTACAATGGTGACCTGCCTGCAGAATACTCAGGTACAATAGCGGTGCAAATGTTGTAGGAGTAACTAACCACTCTCTGTCCCACTCCATGAAATGGAGCTCATGCCCAACAGTGACTGGGTGGACAAGAACCTGAGAGTAGCTAGGCCAGGGATTTAGAGGCTCTGTATACTACAGTTCTGCTAAAATTTTTGTAGGAATAAAATGATTCTTATGACATTCTGCTATACTCTAAGATCAGTATCTTGCTCAGCCATCACCGGAAAAGCTTCCTTCTACAGCAGTTAAGAACCAAAGCAGAAACGCACAGCTGGACAATGTGCAGAGGTGAGAAAGACTGGATCACTCAACCCTAAATGGATATCTTCATAAAAATCTTTCCCCTTGGTGCTCAGGAAACTCTGGAGAAGAGGAAGCAGGAAGAATTTGAGAGCCAGTGGGAATGGAATGAAATGGAGAATACCTAGGACACAAGGCCTTTTAAACACATTAGGAAAAATGAACATATGAATTCACAGATACTATTTCATCACTCACAAAGACCGCACAAGTCTAAACCATGAGCGATCTCAGCCTCAAGTGGGGAAGTGGACACAAGCTCACATCCCTAACCCAGGAGCTATTTCTGATTGATGAACACATTTAGAGGTTTTTCTCCAATGGAATCTCACTGGGTGTACAAACTGCACTTAAGGACAAATCCCAATATTGGCAGAAGGCCAAAACAAACAAACAAAAAACTCGATAGTATTTTTTTGAGTTTTTAGGTTATTTTGTTTCACCTCCTGTACAGAACTTTTACTTAAAGATTATGATTTCCTATTTTCTGCACATGCACATGTTGGTGTTTCGCTGTGTTTTTTTATACTTTTGGTTTGGTTCTTTTTTTCTGTTTGTTTGTTCTGTTCTACTCTTGTTTGTTTTGTTTTATCTTATTGTTTTTAGATGCCTCTTTGTAACTGAATAAAATAGAGAAAGAAACAGTGGAGGTTTGGGGAGAGAGGAAAATGGGGAGCATCTGGGAAAAACTGGTGGAGAATTGGTGGAGGGATAACTGTAAACAGAATATATCATATAAAATCTATTTTCAATACAATATTATAAGATGTTGACAGGAGAAAAAATTTTTTACATAAACGGAAGAGATTCTATGTTGAGGAGTTGAATGCACTAACTTTATGTGAATGTCAGTCCTTCTCGAATTTTCCAGTCCAATGTGTTTTTTATAAGAACCCTGCTCTTATAATTACACATATTGACAAGATGATTCTTAAATGCTCATAAGAATGCAGTAAACATGGAATAATCAACAGAGGTTTGAAAGAGAAGAATAAAGTTAGAGGTCTCATGTTTCCCTGTAAGCAAAAGAATAAAAAGTTATAGTAATCAAGATTATAAGCCACTTTCATAACTATAGTAACAGAGATTATGAAACTCTAGCTGACAATATTTACTTGTGTTATCCCAATGATTGTGTTTTAAAAGTGAATCATAAAATTAAATGAAAAAAAATGATTTTTTAAACAGATTGTACTGAAATAATTAAATATCTGCATGGGAAATAATTATTTAGATCACTTTCTTAAATAAACCTCAAAACTTCATTTAAACATGTAACAGATCTCTATAAAATGCTAACATAATATGGTATTATTAAAAGCCTGTGTATTTTTTACCTTTGATAATGGTATCTTAGACAAGATGTCAAAAACATCAGGTTTGATAGACCAAATTAATGAATTATGAATTAGTGAAAATGCTCTTTAAAAAAAAATGTAGATCTAGGTCTGGATATTAAGCAGCATCACTGAGAAAGCGAAACAGACTGCATACAGAAGAGTATAGAATGTTCTTGTGCACTCTTCCTGATTAAGATTTTTTTAGTCACATTACAAAGCACTCCTGCATATTAAAATCTAAAAGAGCTGGCATCCCAATCAAAAAAATGGTCAAATAATTGGAGAACACAGTGTGATGTAACAAACTGTGAGTAATGGCTTTTAGGTAATGTCAGGAAACTCCCATGGTTGTGGGGACATTTGTCTCCATAAGGGTCTTTCAAAATGCAGAGGTTCAAAAGCACCAGGACAATTAGGTACTTACTCTTTTTCTACTTGGGAAACTCTGTCCTGATCAGAAGTATGCTTGACTAAGTACTTTCTAAAGCAAAGAGCTCAGGATCAAGCTGACGCTGGTAATTCAAAACAGACTTCTGGCTCCCTTTCTTTTCAGCCTCAGATTCCAGATCTTAGTTTCTGTGTGGCTCACATATACGTTACGAGCCAAATATGATTCATCTAATAGCTTCCTCATGCTTCAACCCAAAGAACCCACCAAATTGACATTATTTACACAAAATTTTTGATATATAAGCAATGTCATAACTATTTATAGACGGTAACTCCCAAAAGAACTTTCATCAGGGATAAGGTGGTAGAAAGGAGAAGCAATTAAAAGTTGCTTTATGTGCTTTGTGGCACTCACTAGGTCCCTTATGGATAATATTCTCTCTGTTGTAAACTGTAGCAATCCTTATGGTAAGACTACCAAGTAAGGCGATCAAGTATGGTTCTTAAATATCTATATGATGACAATTTCCTATCTAAAAGTAATTTCTGAAGTTTAAAGATACTCTTTCTATTCTTTTTTATCTATCTGAAGAATTGATGCCTTTTCATTTTTATTGACAGTTTCCCTGTTTGATCATTTTCTAGTTTTCTTTTTTCTGGGGGTTGTTGTTGTTTGCTTGCTTGCTTGTCTGTCATGTTTTGGGAAGCAGGGTTTCTCTCTTTAGCTCTAGCTGTTCTGGAACTCACTCTGTGGACCAGGCTGGTCTTGAACTCAGAGATCTTCCTGCCTCTGCCTCCCGAGTGCTGGGATTCAGTACACTTTAGCACAACTTCAGTGAAGGGAATGTCAGTGAACATATTGACTTAAAGAACTTGGAATAGAAGAAGACATTTTGGGACTAAAGCAAATGTGAATGATGTAGATACTATAATCTAGTTGTTGATGTTATTGGCTCAGATTTTTCCTTAGTTGTGGTAGTTGGATCCCGGTTATTGACATTCAAAATTACATATAAACAATGAAAGGTATAGAATTTAAATGTTATGGCACTAAATGAGAATAGAAAGCACCATATAAACGGATGTGTCTCAGTCTGTACATGTATATTTAATTACAGGTATTTTAATGTATGAGGGACAATATATGCTTATACATCATAGACAAGTAATTACAAACGTTCACTAGCATAGACTCATAATTCTACTATGCTGAACAAATGAATAAGAAACATTCAGGCAGAGGCATGCACACCCAGCTCCCACAGGAGTTGTTGCTTTACAATATTGTTATTTGATAAAAATGACCAAAGTTTCTTAGAGACTTGACTAATAGTGTATGGTTTTCACTTTTACTCAAAATTTTTATGGTTTGACATTTTTATACATTCATAACATGACTTGGACAACTTTCCATTTCTTAGTGATTGCTGAGTAAGTTCAGTGTTAAGAAAAATGACTCTGAATGGGTTTTAATAATAAACACCTTAGATTTTATTTATCTCAAGGTATAGACATATTAAAATGTGGAAAATATTAATTATAGAGTCTAAGTCATTCAGGGTACATGATCAAGTTGGGAAAGTTTATTTATATCGAGCTTAATTTATTTTAGTACTGATTACATAGCAATGCTGTCTTAATTTTTATTCGTTTGTGGTCCTTGACTCATTTTCATTTTTAGGTAGTTTCTGCAAATGCTGGCATGTCAATCTACAAATATGATGAATTCAGGATATGCCTCATGCACTCTTTGCTTCTCTGTTATTGTGAGAAAGGCAGGCTCCATTATTTGTCTTAGTCAGGTGGTCATTCTGGTTATGAGAGCCAAATCTGAGTTTTCTCTTCACATAGGTTACAGGACAATCTCTTAGCATACCTGCACACTAAAACATTATGCTTAGAAATAGACCCTGCTGGAGAAAAGCAAGTCATGTAATGACATTA